ATAAAAATCATGTTGTATAAAGCAGCAGAATAAGGGTGATGGCACAGGGTTACTTTGTCAGGACCAGTGAATAAAAGTACTTGGAGATTTTAGGGAGTAGCAGCCTGAGGGCTCACAAATTACTCATTTTTTCTTAGACTAGAGCTACATAGTGAGAAGCATACAAATATTTTTAAACAAGTGGATCACTGACTTAAATATTCAGTTTCATGCTGGCATCTGAAAGCATGAAAGCACACAGTGGAGAATTCCAATTCACAATCAAAATAGTTATAAACATACTTGGCTATAAGGAGTGGAGATGATGGAGGATGAGACAGAGTGCTCTGTGCACTCTTTCAGGATAAAAGATTAGCCTTGAAACTATATTTCAATTTTATATTATTGGGCCAGGATGAGGGACAAGGCAGAATATTCTAGGCTGAGAAAGTCTCATATGGTGGAGTAAGAAAACATAGTACATGAAGGGAACTCGGAGAGATGGAGTTTGATGTGCCTGAGTTAAGAAGTGTGTGTGTGTGTGTGTGTGTGTGTGTGTGTGTGTGTGTGTGATGTGGGTGTTGGTGATGGATTTTCAGCAATGGGTAGATGCATGAACACTGAGAAATCAGGTCAGAGTAGCACACAGGATCCAGACCACTGAGATCCTCACATGGTATTTTAAGGAGCTTGGACATCATCATATTGACATTGACAGTGGGGAACCACTGCAGGATTTCAAGCAGAGACAAGATGCAGACATAACTGCAGTGCAGAAGGATCGCTCAGGTTGGAATGTGGAGAGATGCAGGAACAGAGACAACTTAGAAGTGATGAGGGCCTGAACAAAGATTGTGGCTAGAGGTTCTTCTCAAGCTTTAGGACAACTAGTTTCAGTTGCTGCCACTGGGAATTCTGCAAGAAGCACAAGGTTCAGATGGGCTTGCTTGCTTCCTTTTACTCCTAGGAGACATGGTTATGATCAGACTGAAGAGCTGAATTTCAGAGTCAAGCTTGAGTGAGAGGTGTAAATGTCACACACACACAAAAATTAGTAATGGGGGAGGGAAACTGGTAAGAAAAATGGGAGGAAAGAGGGAGAGATAAAAGAGTTATGAATGTCTACAACTTAGGAGAATCATCAAGAGGTCATTCTTGATTTTCAAAAGTATTTCTGAAGAATTGCCTGAAGAAAAGAATTTTCAAGCTCTATCATATGTTTAGTGAGTAAATTGATTTCAAAATGCATTTTAAAGAGCTCAATTATGAAAATAAATGAACTATGTCCTAGTGATCTCATGTGTGTATCACATCAAGGAGGAACTGGGTTACTCAGGCAAGAAGCCCATTGGTGCTCTGTGGTTTGACAGTGCGTTCTGAGTAGGAGCCAGGCCTAATTTCACATCTCAGAGGAATTTGGATTTTCTGAAAAGGGGCTGAAAACTGTACACTCCCTGGGGTGGTGGAGGAGGTTAGGACTAGAAGCCGATTTACTGAATCCCTATCTGGAGCATGTGGGCAGATATGAAGATTCCCAGTGAAAATGCCAAGGCAAACTGACAACTGCAGCAACACAGTAGCCCTACTAAAATATAAAATTTCTGTGTCCACTGCACTTAGTTGACAAAAAACCTGCATTTTTTGCTAATAAGTAAAGTTGCACATTAGCTCTAAATTTCCCATTTAATTAGGAACATCTTGTTAAAAGATTCCCGTTCTGGCACAGAGGCAATCCTTTTAGGAATATAATCTGGACTTGAAAAGGATGAATCCTATGACTTTAGGGGGGAATATTAAGGAAACAGTAACAAGAAAGAAGGAAGTGGCTTTAGGAGGTTTCTTGCCTTGCACCAACACAAAATCAGAGTGATGGATGGGTAGAGGGACAGAGTCGCAAGCGGGTAGTGCAGTGGGGAAACAGAAGGAGTTGCTCTAAGGATGCCAAGGCCCTTTCTAAAGAGTAGGACTGGGGATGAGGAGGAGGAGGTGAGCTGTGCAAGTATTGGGTCATACCCTGTCTTTATTCAAAACTTTGGTAGTTTGTTAACCATGGATTTCCTTGTATTTATTTTGATTCTTAAAAATATTAATTATGCTTTTAGTGCCCCTTAAAATTGATGTAAACCAACCTGATGTGTTGCTTCAACCTAGTTCCTGCCCCATTAAGAAGAAATATTGCTAAATAAGGGAAAATTAATAGTGTGCATTAGAAGTTCTGTTTGCATTCTAAGCTCTACTTCACAGATAAACAATGCTCTCTAGGCCTAGTGGTCCCAGAGCTCTTTCCCTGTGGTTTCCCAACACCATGTGTGTGGAAATGGACATTTTACAACCTAAGGGAGACAGCATCACTTTGTGGTTCTTTCCTTTGGGTACTTTAAAAATTTTCTCTTTATTACAAACAACTTATTACATTATGCCTTAATGAAATTTTCTTTTTGTTTTTTATGCCGTGGGGTTGGTGGAATATCTTGGATGTGTGGGTTTATAGCTTTCATCAAATTTAGAAAAAGTTATTTCTTCAATTTTTTTGGTCCCTCATTTTCCATCAGAAACTTCATTTTTCCAATTACATGTCTACTGGATCCATGAAGTTTTGAAGGTTTGTTTCTCAATCTTTTTTTTTCTTAAATTTTTCTCTAGGGGTTCATTATGGATGGTTTCTATTGCTAGGGGTTCAAGGTCAAATTCTATTTTATTTAGTGCCTCTCTTATCCTACTCAGAGTATTTCAGATTTCAGATATTGTAGTTTTTGTCCCTAGAAATTCTATTTGGGTCATTTAAAAATTTTATTTTATGTCTCCCTTTAACATGCTTAATCTTTCTTCCACCTTCTTGAATATATAGGATGGTTATAATTACTATATAGTAATTATAATAGTCCTTGTCTACACATTCTAACATCTCTCTCATTTCTGGGTCTGTTCTACTGATTGATGTTCCTTTTCACTGTATTTCAGTGACTCTTGGCATATGTCTTAGTTACTTTTCTCTCATTGCTGAGACAAAATACCTAACACCTAAAGTTAAAGGAGGAAAGGTTTATTTAGCTCACAGTTTGTAGAGGTTTGAGCCCATAATCTGCTGGCTCCGAGGCACAGTGGCACATGGGAAGGGAGCAACAGTTCGTGGTGGGCCAAAGGTAGCAAAAGCAACAAGGGAGCAAGGCACTTGACAAGCCTCTTTCTGTCCCTTATATTGTATCCAGCCTGCCAGGAATTAGGGCGGTGCCAAACCAATCAGTGGACTGATTTAGTAATCACTCACCGTTAATCCTAGCATTGTATAACGAATCGATCACACACTAGATTCACACATTTTGATTCTTAAAAAGCCCCACCTAAGACTACATGAGGCTTTGGGGGGACATCTAGACACAATCATAACAGCTAGCTACTAATTTCTTTCTTTCTTTCTTTTTTTTTTTTTGGTACCAGGGATCGAACTTGGGACTTTGTGGTTGTGAAGCAGGTGACTGCACCACTGAGCTAAATCCCTGGCCCAGCACACTAGTAATTTCTGATTGCATGTCAGACATTGTAAATTTTACTTTGTTGAGTATCAGTTCTTTTTATATTTCCATAAACTTTTATGTGTGTGAGTGTGTGTGTGTGTGTGTGTGTGTGTGTGTGTGTGTTATTGGGTTTTGAACCCAGGGCCTTTGTACTCAGCTATATCCCCAGATATTTTTTTTCCCATTAAGTTTATTGGTACATTTTAGGTATACAATACAGTTACATTCATCATTGGGATCTTGTACCATTACATGATGTATCTTGGTTCTTATTTTTCCCCTTCCCTTGCCCTCCCTTCAACCCCTCCACTCTTCCCTATTTACAAAGACTTAGTTTCCATTTTTCCTCTTTTCTTTTCTTTTCTTTTTTCTTTTCTCTTTTCCCTTCTTTCCTTTCCTCTACCCCTCCCACTTCCCCTACTCCTTTAGACATTTTCTTCCTATTTCACAATATCAATTATACATTTTGATCCTTATTTACACTTTTAGTTTTTCACACCAGAGAAACTATTCAGTATTTACATATGTGTGTCTTATTTATTTCACTTAAGAGTATGGCCTCAAAGTGTATCCACTTAGCTATAAATGTCTCTAGGATATTTTTTATTTTTGAGGCAGGGTCTTACGAAGTCACTAAATTGCCCAGGCTGGGCTCCAATCTGTAATCCTCCCGCCTTGGCCTCCTAGAATGCTAGTATTACACATATGCTATCATGCCCAGTTCCTATGAATATTTTTAATGTTGGTTTTAGATGCAGTTATTTGAAAACAGTTTGATTCTTTGGAGTCTTGCTTGTAAGTTTTGTTAATTAAAATCAAAGCAGCCTTTAGGACTCATTTTTTCTCACTACTGATTTTGTATTCAATGGGCCACAAAATATGAGGTTTTCTACTCCTGCTAATGGGAACAGGAGCTATTTTCAACCATGCATAAGCAGCAAATACTATTTCCTCTAATTCCACTCTAGTCTTAGGTAGTGTAAGACCGAGGGCCTTACCAAACGCTCCGAGGAGCTGACTAGTGAAGCACACCCAGGGATCCCAGCGGTGCCTTCAGAATGTAAGACCAAGAGCCTTACCAAACGCTCCGAGGAGCTGACTGCAGCGAACACCCGGGAAGGAACACACCGGACAAGTTGGAAAATAAAACAGACCTTTATTAGTCTGGCCAGATGGCACTCCCAAAGCAAAATAGCTTAGAGAGGCAACTGGCTCAGAGTCCGAGGCTGTTTTTATAGGGGTTGAGGGGGAGGTTAACATATAGAATTGAAGAAAAGGGACAAAGGTTAGTGGTCGACTGTCATGTATTGATGGTTAGCAGACATTTGCAGCTTGTTCTAAAAATTGTGGTGCCCGGAACATCAGTTCAGGGCAAACAAGGAGTTGAGTAGTTTACTCTGGGACTTTAGATCTGTTACAGATTTTATCTAGTGTCCCAAAACTAACAAGCATCTTTATCCATTAACTCACATTTAATCACAATGGGGCTGGAGAAAAGGAACAAAGGTTATGCAGTCCCACAGTAGTTTCTCCTTTCACAAACAACCTGGTCAGAAGACTCAAGGGAGACCCTCAGATGGCTGGAGCTCTGTCCTCTCTGATATTCTGCCCTAAGAACTCTGACTGTCTCAGTTTTCCAAACTCCCAACACTGTATCTCAGCTCAAGGAGCCCCTTGTCTGCACCATGGCTTGGAGACTTTTTAGGAAATCAGCTTGGACAATCATAGAGCTCACCTCATATGTTCAGCCTCTTTCAGGTATCACTGTCCGGTGCTCCTGATGTCTAATGTCTACTGTAGCTTCATGTATTTTTGCCTGTTTATTTTTTAGTTATTTTCAAAACAGAGGATCAAGTAGGTCTTGTTATTCCACTTTGTCTAAAGTCAAAGTGTGTAGCTTTACAGCTTCTGAGTGTGGTTGGTGAGTGATATGTTTGAAGGAGAGAGTAAATTACATCTGGAATGATCAATTAAAACTTTCAGAGTAATTTAAGATGCTGTATTAAAATTTATATCAGTTTTGATTGTTAAAACATAATTTCCATGGATTTATACTCATAATTTTTATATAAATACTTAGGGACCAGAATGATAAAGTTTTATTTCTCATTAATGTGGTAACAGAAGGATGTTAAAGCCAATTAGAAAAGTGAGACGAAGGGAAAACAAATGACCTTTTAGAAAAATATGCTGGAATAAGATTGCTTATCTAGATTTAAAATTGACTGATGTCCCACAGGGCAACACAATCACAAACTTTGGGGTTATCTTCTCAGAACAAAACTTTTTGTCTGTATTATACAAAAATTCATTTACATCATATCATATTCATTTTCCACAAGTTAACATCTAACTTTTACAATGTCTGAACTTTAATTAATGGTAATAGTAAGTAAAATAAAAGTTACTTTCCCTTAGAGAGTTGGTGGGCTCTCGAGCAGGCATATGACAGTGTTTTACTAAGGGACTGAGTAGACATAAGTCATCTTTCTTGCTTTATTTCCAAGTTTTGAAAAACTTTTCTAAGCATGGGAGTTCCCAATGAGTCAATGAGATTTCCATCACCTAGCTGGCCACTTGCTCAAGTAATGAAAAGAATGAGTTGTGGTTTCTGTGATTATTTTTATGTTAGAATCACATGGGAGATCTTTTCAAAACTAGGAGCCCAGGGCTTCTTACCAGACTAGACTCTTTTAGGGTGAAGCTTAGCACCATTAACTTCTTAAAGAGGCTCATAGTTATTCTAATGTGCAGTCTGAGTTGAAAATCACTGGTCTAGATGGGTTGCTCAGATCCCTTTCAATAATAATGCTCTGTGATTCTCCAGCTTGAAACACAGGCAAATCACTTTTCAGAAAGCAGACATAAATACAAGCTCAGCTGACTGCCACACATCACTAGAGGCTTGGAAATGATCAGGGTTGCCTGCATTCATTCCAGGGTGCGGAAGCAGCAGGCAAGGCCAGGGGTGGGAGAGCTGAATGATGGGTCTTTGTGTTCCAATTATCATCAGGGTGAGTTGGTAGAAAAGAGATAGGAATGTCTGCCATCAATTTCCTTTAAAAATAGCTATGGCAGAATTCATTTTGTGTCCCTGCCCCTACACTGTTGAGCTCATCTCTGCTTCAGAGCAAGAGCTCTTTCACTGGGTTATTATTGGAGATGGTGTTTCTGATTCCAGACCGTGCATTAATAAATTAAGGCCATGACCAATAATATGCACAAAAATAGTGCAGCAAGTAAAAGCATTTACAATAATTTCAAGTAATAAAACTGTACTTCAAATTCTATTCCTTTGTGCTTGCTATCATCAAAAAGTACTTTTATAACTTTTATTAAAAACTAAAAATCATTTTTAAAAGCATAGACTTTTGGAATTCTTTATCCTACAACCATGTTTATGAGAGACATGTAGGAAATACAATGGAGCAAGCTGGAAATTAAAAGAAAGTTTTAAACTTAATAAGAGCTTTTTAAAACCATAAATTAATGTTGATTTTTTCAAGTGGGTTTTGGGCATCTTTCTTGATTTTTTTTTGTATATCCTTTTATTGGTACATTTTAGTTGTACAATATAATGACATTCATCATTGGAGATATACACCTTCTTTCTTGGTTTTATGACTTCTTTGATATATTGCTATCCAAATCTTAAAGGGTAAATCCTCCTGATTATGATGGATTATTCTTTTGATAGTCTATTTGATTCCATCTACTCCCCCTGACACTTCTGGTGATAACTATCTTTTTTCCTTTATGTGAAATATTCTGTTGAATTGGGTAGGAATGGTATAAACTTTTACAGCCATTTGACAGATTAGAAAACTGAGATGGGCGATACTGAATGACTTATTAACCAAGAACAAATGGAAAAAATGTAACAAAGCTTATACGCAAATATTTGACTCCTGATTTCTGCTCCAAGGATTTTTCCTTCCTCTAGAAAATTTTTGTTTTCATCATGCAAATATCTCAACCATTAACTCTTTCATTTAACCTCATAGTATTTCATATAACCTAAAAATAGTATCTTAAAAGGAGAATTTTCTATTTGAGCCATGTCATTAATGCTATTCCAAATCCTAATTCCTAATGCTCTCCTGTTTTTAAATTTGTTTTTAAATTCTGCACAGTAGCAGTTCTTGTAACTGTATTTAACAATCATGGGGCTTGGGGAAAGTGTGGAATGGAAGTGGAAGGAGGTTAAAGCAAGGGTGATCAATGGATGGCCGATCCATTAGCAGGGCCATAGAGTCCACAGATGAATGGATTTGAGATGGGACTGGACACTTGGTTTGAATTCCAGGTATGAAATCTATAAAGTTTACAACACAGTCCTGGACTCTGGGGAAAAGTTGGGCTGAGCATATACATTTGGTAATGATCAGGGCATATGGATTAGTACAGCTTTGTGAATAGAAATCGCCCAGGGAGTGGGTAGGGAGCAAGAAGAAAGGAATGTGAAATGCACCAACATTTCTGGGGATAGAAGAAGAGGAGTTCAGAAGGGCAGAAAGAAGAGTAAGAGAAGGAAAGAGAAAAGCAAGGGCGTACAGTATCCTGAAAGCAAGGGAAGAGAAATGTTGTCCTCCTTTCTTACCTCCAACCTGTCTTCCCCTAGGCTTTCTCATCTTAGTGAGTGCTCACCACTCAGCTGCTCACATAGCAAACTACTATCTCTGCCTGGAACAGAGGCTCCTTAGGGGTCTCCCAACTTCAGATCTTGTTTTTATGTCACTACCTAGGCCATATATCCTCCAGTGGTCAGAGTGCTTTACAAAAGAACAATCAGATCACACCATATCTCTGCTTAACTCTCCCAATGGTTTCCCATTGTACTTTGACCATGAAGTTTACAACATAGTCCTGGAACTCTGGGGAAAAGTTTGTTACCATGATCTAACCTGTGGCCAAGTTCTTCAGCTCTGTCCTGTACCATTCTCCACTACGTCCACTCTACCCAGCCCCCGGGTCTTCATGCCTTCTCTCTGTTCTTTGAACATACCAAGTCCTTTACTTACTTCTGGTCTTTTGAATATAGTCTGCACAGACCTATACAGGGCTGGCACTCACCTTCAGCCAGTCCTCAGCCAAAACATCACCCCCTCAGCAAGGCCCTGACCACTCATCTAAGTAGCAGATACCCAGTGTATTAGTTAGCTAGGGCTGTGTAACAAAAAAAGAACAGGAATTAATTGTCTAACAGTTCTGGAGGCTGGAGATCTGATAGGAAGTTATTGGCAGGGTCAGCTCCTTCTGAGGGCTGTGGAGACTCTGTCCTAGGCTTCTCCCTGGGCTTCTACATGGTTAGCTTCTCCTTTTGTCTTGTCACATCATTATCCCTCTATGTATGTGTCCAAATGTCTTCTTTTTATAAGGACGTCAGCCATACTGGATTAAAGTGCCCCCTAATGATTTCATTTTAACTTGAATAAAGAGTTCTTGGGCTAGAATTTCAACATATGAGAAAGAGAGCTCCATTCAAAGTGTGAAATCAATACCTACTTTCTAGCATATGACATTGCTACATCCTGTTCATAGCATTTGTCCCTATCTGAAATTCTATTGTTCACATTTGGCTTGTATTTTATCGTTTGTCTCTGGAATCTCCACAGAAAAGGAAACATGCCTGTTTCTATAGCAGAATCTGCCAGTACCCATGACCTATCCCTGTTACCATAGATACCAGCAGCTTCTCACTGCAGGCATCTGCAATTTCCTGTCTGAGTCTTCCTGTAGCATGCTTGCCCTCACATGAGACAGACTGAGACAGACAGGAGGTGCCTGGAAGGTAGTGACTGATGAGATTTGGAGTGGGAATACCCCTCACCTTGATGGGGAGAATGCTGATTGCTTTCAATCATTGCTGAGATATCCCCAGCAGGACTGAACTAAGTTTTGCATAGGGCTCATGAATGGGTCTGCATTGGACTTCTTTCTGACTTCCAAATCAGTGTTCCCAGAGGTCACTTTCCAAGTAAATCACTTACATTTAACTCCTGTCTTTAGCTCTGCTTCACCGGAGAACCCAATATAGAAGGCCTTTATCACTGTTGTCCTGGTGCTTAAACAGTCCATAATACAACAGTTATGGTAAATACTCAGGAAATCTTGATGAATGAACTGACACAGGGAGCTGTCACTGACATTGTCAAATCCTGCAAATCTAAGAGATCCAGTGGAAGAGAACTTAACAAAAAGAGCAATTTGGTGATTATGAGGTTATCACTGGCTATAGTGAGAGGAATTTGTTACAGAGGTGGGGCCATAAATCTCATTTTGGAGAGTAATACGAGTTGAGCAATGTAGGCAGTAAAGGACAGGGAAAAGTTAACTCTATAAGACAGCAGGATAGGATTTTTTTTGATGAGAAATATTTGAGCCTGATTTAATGACAAAGAATGAACATAGAAAACTAGTGGATCAGAGACTTGTTGGACAAATTTGTCACTCAGTTAGTGAGTACAGATAGAAGAGTTGGCCCAAAGAAATAGAAACCTCTTATCTTCCACGAAAGGAGCTAGGAAGCAAGTTAGTAAACAGAAATATGAACATAAACACACATACATAATGATAGGTCTCCCACCACCTCAGCAGCTATTAAATATAGTAGCTGCCCTCTTCCTATGGTGCCTTGCCCCCTCCCCTGTGTGACATCATGCCAAGATGGTTGCTCCCACCAAAGAACAAACCCTTCTTCCCAGCATGCCCCTGTTCCCACCTAGACAGTAACCTAATACTCGCTCACCTCCT